AGAGAGCAATGAAAATTAAATGAAATAGCTTAGTGCAACATGTAGCTGAGTGCTGTAATCTGAGAAGTTAAATAAACCAAATTGTTACTGTTACCGACAATCCTGAGTTCTGTATGGGAACAACCCTGCTCTGCATTGACACTCCTTACATCCTCCTTCCTTTAACAGCATTTTGTACCATTTAGGTAAACTGGTTACAGCTTAAAAGGCTGCTTTAATAGCTATTGTAATCACTTACCTGCCAATCATAGTTTCCATGTTGATATTATCATGTCCTGTCTTGAAAATCTAGGCTCCTTTCAGTTTGATGTGTTTCATTCTGTTGGAACAAACAGTGTACATGTATGAGATGACTCTTTAAGCAACCACATTACACACATTCTTTCTACATTTTTTTAAAAATTTCTCTCAAGTGAAAGTAACTTTTAATAATTTTTTACCTGTGTATTGGGCCTCGAAAGCAATGGTCAGCCTGAAAGTACCAGTAATGGCTCACCCAAAAGTAGCCACCCTTTGAAAAAGTCATTAAAGGGAAACTCTCCGATTTCAAGCACAATGTGAATGGAACAGTCTGACTGCAGGTCTGAACAACTTGAAGAGTTCTTTGTGATTTTATTTCGAACTAACTGAATCTTTCTCGATTAAACCATGATTTGTAAGCTGTATTTCTGTGGCAGCAGAGTCAAATGATACAGTGTTACATTACTTACATTGCGATATGACGCAACCATTATACCTTTGCATATCGGTACCAACATTTGAAGCCTTTTCTTACAGTCTGCTTTGTTTATGTGGGTGGTTAGTGACATACCGGTACATAGACAGAACTTTAAATTAATGTTATGCATTGGCTTTGTCTGAAACAATAATGTGAATTACCATTCAAACGTTTTTCAACCATCTGAAAGTAATGGTTACTTGAACATAGCAGCCCCTTTTGCCTACTAAATCTGAAAGTTATTAATAATCAGTCTTGTTCTGCATGCTCGTTTAATTTGAAATTACTCACCCCATTACACCCTGGATTATTGTGCTCCACTTAGTCCAATTACATATGGGTTATTGACCAAGTGTGAGGTCAAGATGGCTAGATATTAGCCAATTTCCTTTTTCGCATGTTTATGGACAAAAACAAAGTCAAGGTCCATAAACACGCAGAACAAGAACAAACCCAATATTCAGCCACCTTGACTGAACAAGCTAGCTTGGTCAACAGAGGGATTATTATAATTTTTCTTGTGGAACACAGCTCATAAACCCCAAGTGGCAAAATAGCACTAACTTGCCTGCTGGGTTGGCCAATCACAGTGCAGGATTTGGTTAATCTTGCTTGCTCTGGGCACTAGCCATGTATTATTACTAATATAATGTAGTGCTAATACCTTGGGGGGTGGATGCTCCCAGAAAAATTAGGTGGGGGTGGGCAGCCCACTTCCCAAAATCACTACCCTTTTCAAGACCAAAATCTTTGTTAAATTTATGTTTGCCACAAATTTCAGGGTGGTCCATTTAGGTTAGTCCATGGGTGGTCCATTCAAGTAGTCCATGGACCAGGTCCATTGGGGTAGTCCATGGACTAGGGGTCAGCAAAATGTACCGAACCGATTTTCCCTACCCTATTTATGATCTGACCAAAACTTTGATGCCCTATTTATGACTGTTGCAGCTGGAATAACTGCCCTAAACAAAATTTATGAAGCGATTTGTTGATGGCTTTATTGATAATGATGAAAAAGTAGCTTCTTCTATGAAGCATACCAAATTCAAGACCAGAGTGCAAAAACCATACCCTATTTATGACCAAAATGTCCAAAATGTCCAAAATGGCCAAAATGGATACCTATTTCTGACCAAAACAACTGAAAAACCATACCATTTGAAGCTGCACATACCTATATAGCCCTTAAAGGAGAGTACTTCCCCCCGCTGGCGGCTAAAACTGGACCTGCATAATAATTTCAGGGATTTGCATTGATTTGATCAGATGGATAACATCAACAATTTACAGGGAGTTTCTTTAAGTCTTCTTGTGAAAACCAGTTGCCTTCCTGCTGAAAACGTTAACGAAACCCCGAAAATTTAGCTCCCAACTGGATTCAAAAGGGTTATGAAGACCAACCTAGTGATTTAGTGGCTTAGACTAAGTAATGACTGTGGTATTGAAGCCTTAATGAAGTGCAATGTTATTGCCATGTGCTCAAATTAGCCTTCTAAAAACGCTCCCTTACCCTTGCATTAACTTCTGCAAGTCACTCTTAAATTTGAAGGAATAAAACTTATTTATGATGATATGAGAACGAGCCATAGAAGAACAAATAAAAACAGAAAAACGCCAAAATGGCTTACCTTTCTTCAAGAAACAACTCCGCCATATTTTCGAAGGCATCATGCTTCTGGACACGTGATCAATCGGATGTGACACTACGTCATTGCTTCAGCCGTTCCTTTCCCAGGCTCTCTCTCCTCTGCCTCACGTCACGGGAGTGTCAAGCTCACGTCTCAAGAAAAGCGAAAAATAAATTAAGGTTACTTCCGATTAGAAATCTCAAAAGGCGGTCCTTGNGGGGGGGGGGGACACTTCCTTGTATGGGCTATATAGGTATCTGAGGCCCCAAGGGGTATGGTTTTTCCGCCGGTTTGGGCATAAATAGGGTATCGATTTTAGCCATTTTGATCATAAGCTGGGTCTGGTTTTTGCACTCTAGTCTTGAATTGGGTATCTTTTTTAGAAGAAGCTACTTTTTCATCATTATCGATAAGACCGATCAACAAGGAGCCCTTCACGATGCCTTAAACATCGATCTGAACAAGGGAACTAAGTATAAGGCAGGTCTTACACAGGGTATTGATTGAGGGTTAGGTCATTAATAGGGTATAAAAAATCGCAGATTTTGGTCATAAATAGTGTAAGGGTTTCGGGAAGCGGGCCGCACACCCCCAACTCAATTTTTCTTGGAGTACCCCCCGGCTTTTAGACAAGTTTTCTAACTTCCATTCAAGTTTGCAGCTTAGTTTATATTCAATCAACGGAATATCTATGCAGGACAGAAAACTCAAGAAATACTCTTAGTAATACATGGAACAATTAAATGTTACCCGAAACAGGCATAATAGACTTCTTATAACTGTTTTTGTCATTTTCCCATTGGTTAGTTTCCCATACTGAGTGGTGAAGCCAGAATTTTTGGGGCGGCCTGTTAAGGGACGGGAATAGGGATATCTGCCAGGTGTCCCTCGAAAGTGTCACGCGATTCTACATCTACATTATGGGGGTCTTGCAAAGGGAGGCATTGGCTGGTGCCACACGTGCTGTTAATTATAGCAGAATCGATTATGTCTTCCTGACAAAAAGCAAAACGACGAAGGTAAAATAAATTTAACGCATCTAAGGCCATCGCCTTTCCTTTTGGTAAATATGTCGTTCATCCGTGAGACACGAACACAAAAGGGCTGTCGCCACCGTGTGTATACGAAAAGGTGTTGAGTCTGTTGGGGCGAGACAAGAATAGAAATAACCGTGATTAACGCGCTTATTTCCCGGCTCAAACCCTTCTAGTCTGAAATGTCTCGCTTCATAATCCCTGCATAATTTCGAGTGAAAAACAGACTGCCAGCAGTGTAACCCAGCTAATGGCACGATCGTTTCCAACATATCCCCTCCTCCAGCTGACGTCACAGCTACTTTAAGTCCCAGGTCTCCTCTCGCACGGCCGTGAACTAGGCTGTAGCGACTTCAACCCTTCATAAATTCGCAATGATTTGATGAGTTAAGTCGATTCTTTTTCCAATCTTCACCAAATTATGTATTCTTTTTGAAAATAAATAGGAAAAAAAATTGGTTAGGAGCACTGTAGTACCTGTCGAGGTATGTTACAAAGCAACGCTGCCAGGTGCACATCTTTCGATGCAATACAAAAACGTTTTCATGGCCAGCTTGTCAAGTAACACCGCATTATAATTAGGAAATTAGGAAATGGAAGTCCTTTAGTCATTGCCACACGAACTCGCTTGCCCACCATGGAAATCACTTCCACGAACACCCACAGGCCGCATCAAAACCGCAATTGCAGTTTGGGTAAATGTTTTCTCTGGGAAATAACCTACTAGGGTTCGGTCAAATTTTCCACAGACAGTCAATTGTTAAACTCCCTAAGTCTGTTTTCCTCAAAAAGTTGTTTCTGAAGATTTTTTAATTCTTTAATAAGAGGAAAGAAGTTCCGCGCTGAAAAGAAACTAGAATGAATCGGACTCGTGTCGTGTTGCTAACCAACAATTTTATTCGTTTCAGTATTAAACTCTACAAATGACAAAAAAATAATAATAATAATACATGCATTACAGCTACAAAAAAATTCTTGAAATAACAAAATGTCGTGGTCATTTCAACTCGGTACAAAACGCTATTACTGTGGAGTTTGCTCCAAAACTACGTGACGGTTACAGCACACATCTGATAAAATGAACAACTCTCATGGGAAGCGGCAAGCTTTTAATTTCTACGAATCTTTCCATGAGACACCGAAATCGTTGGCCAGTTTCAAGTTAACCTTTATCGAACAATCCGCATAAAATTTCTCCACATTGTATCAATAGATTGTCAGGCAAACAGATGATGAGAGTTAAGAGTTCAATCAGCTTGGGATTTTGGACTTGACGTTTCGCCCAATTCGTAAAATTTACGGTACAGGGCTCTTTTTCTGTCGAGTGAGCATGCCATATAAAAGTTAACTTAAAACTGTGTCAAAGACATCCGTGATTCACACAAAAATGTTAAACTACGTTATAATACTGAGAGCTGTTAAGACCACCTGCGCCCGCAAGCTAGTCCTCCTCGTTGACCAGAGGTTCCAATGGAACCTTGGTCTCGGTGGTTGTGGCCTCGTGATAGGAAGGAGGCTTGACTTTGAGAACGTCAGCCACTGGAGTTTTGCGTTTCTTGCAGCAGTACACCAGACCGGTGATGATCAGGGAGAAGACCAAGATGGTGCTGATGACGACGGCGGCTTTGACGCTGGCGGGTTGGCGTTTGAACCAGGAGGCAAGCCCTGGAAAACACAATGGACGGACGTTGTTACAACAGACCACTTACAAGTTGGTTTTTGCCTGTGTCAAAACGTGCGAAACCATTCATAGGGAAATGTGTTCTCCCTACAAGTTCATTTTCATGCGACTCAAACTCACGGGGAAAAGTCTTATGGTGAGGTCGAGGGACTAGAAACAGGCAGCGTTTTGGGTTGCTCTTCGTGAGAGCAAAGGTTTCCCAATAGCGCGAGTTCTTCGTTTGTGGTCCGAAAGTTGTCACGCCATGGTGGCACAATGAGGATATGTCACACACCATAGTACGTTTATACATGAACGTTAAACAGTCAGAATGGCAGAAATACTGAATTTTGGCGTTTTACTTACTGCTGCATCTTCCCTTGTGGTGATACTCGTGAACATCATCGTCGTCGTCATATTTCATAGGCAGTTTGCGCTGTAGCAAGACGACATGCAGATCTTTCACCTCACTGGTGACGTGCAAGTCCAGCTGTGGAGTAAGAGAAGACAAGACGGGCTCACATCAGTTCCTGGCTTGTGTCGAGAAATACCTTACTAGCACAACAAAACTGTGCAATCAAAATTAATTTTGATGACTCTCACGAAAAAACGCGGTCCTAATAAACCGCATGTGGCCTCGTCTGGCCAATCACACCAAACAAAGTGATTCAGCAAGACCGAAAACATTCACCGGCCACCAAGCGCGGGAAAACACGCCTGTCAGCCACGTCACGACCTTCGTCCGGTGGTTTGATTGGTTAAAAAAATCGGCATGCTTTCTGCGATTGGTTAAACACTAAACAGCGCGCGTTCTGCCGAGCTCACTTAAAAAAAAAGGCAAATTAATTATGTAAAGCCATTTGAAACAGTTATAAAACGCCAATAAAACTTGCCGTGAATGACATTCCCTTCATGTGCTTGTCCATTGTGAGCGTCAAGTACATATCTGCGCTTCCAATACCCTTGATGGACAGCGGAAAACCTTCCACTTGGATCTTTTCTCCACTCTTGAAAGTGTGCTTCCACTCAAAACCGCGCCCAGGTACCTTCAAGATTATCTCAGCGCTCAAGGGCTCTTGGGATCCGACAAACTTGAGGGTCAACGTCACATCTTCACCATCAAACTCCGCAGAGCATGTGTACGTACCACAGTGGTTAGTGACAATGCATGTTAGGGGTAACTCATCAGACATCACTGGCGGAGGGCATTCATAGTCCTCATCTCCACTCTTGTGATGGTGGTCACCACGGTGGCGCTTATGTCCGCCTTTTGCTAAATTTAATTTCAATAAAAACTTTGTTACAATCAACATCCAAAAATTACGTTTTAGTCGCCAATCGATTGCAAAATTTCCACCACAAAAATATATTACTGTTTTGAGACTCTCATTCGTCAAAAAACGAAACGAAAATTTCGGCGGCGAAATCGTTCAGGTTGTTGGGAAAGTACCCCTTACGCTTGTTGCGTTGAGACTCCGGGATCTTATTCTTGATTTGCAATTTGCGGAGATTTTTGACAAGATGCGAAGAAAGCTGTTTTGTTATTTTCTGAATTCCAGTGTTTCCGGCTACATTTTTCAGTTCGCCAGAGCTGGCTAAATTTGCTTCAAGAACATAAAAATATGATCCTGAATTTCTTATTTCTAACAATTTACAGGTTCGTTTGCCAACCCAAAGAAACAAGTGTCCCTTGTGTATAATAACCTGCAGCCAATTGTCTGAACTATCGAGAAATTTGACAGTAAATGACACTGAATTTTAATTTAGAAGCTTTTGGTGAAGCATAATTTCTGACCATTTGCAAGTTCGAATACATATCCAGAGCGGAATAACTGAGTATGGAGTATAGCGGGGCTTTGCTAATAAGTTGGTTTAAAAGGAAACCGAACGATTATTGCGCCTTTTCTGGATAAACATTAGCTCCACTCTGCCTAAGGAAATATGATGCAGCTGTGATAAACACTGCTTTCTACTGGTGGGTAGGGAGGGAGGGGGAAGGGGGGAGGAGAGAGGAAAAGTTGGAAGCGAAGCTGTTCTGGGGAACCGGGAGGACAGGACAGCCACCAAAATATATCCTAAGAGAGTTAACTTAAATTTCAAACGGGTCTGCATTCGACTAACAGAAAAAGCCAAGAAAGTGTAACGCGGCGTTTGTTCTGCAAGTACAAAGTACGACAGGCCCCGTGGGTAACAAGCAAAGCGAAGGTTATGACGCAGCAAAATTTCAAGCAGATTTTTCGTAAGTAGAACAACATAACAGTGAGATAAAAACTCGAAAATGACAAAAAAAGTAAGAAGCAATACTAGAATTCTGTAGCACAAGCACAGAACGATAATTTTCGCAAGCCAGCAAAATTTACAGGCAAAGGTCATGGAATAAACAAACAGCTGCCAAACTACACGTATTTGCATATTCCGCTTTTCATCCCGAAAGCACGAAATTCACACATAGGCCGCTTGCTATGCAATTTTAACAGCTAGGAATTTCGAATACTGGAGTGCAAGACGTCAATGAGTTTCCAAAACTGATGAACTCAGTTAATTATCAACTGCATATAAACTGATAAACATTTTTCACAACCTCCTGAAAATCCACTGGGCCGAAACTGACAGTACCGTTCAAATTAAGGCCCGCAGAGTTTGAAATATCAATATGATTAGCTTTGAACGCAACTTGAACGGGAAATAGGGATGAAAGACCTCAATCAGCGAGCACATTAACAAACTTCCTTCAGTCGTGAGCCATGCTTTGAACGGAGTTACATAATAGTAAATTCGCATCGTCAGGCGAGAATCATTTAATTTGCCTCGGCTTGAGTTAGTTTCGTCTTCTGTCTTTCTGCTACAACTCTAACTACAGATTCTATGTCGCATTTTGACCGAAACTTACCCAAAGCAGTAGAAACGAGGCCCAACACCAGCAAACCGATGACAAGTTTACCCTCCATCTTCATTCCAACCCAGAACACAATAGCCGCAATTAGCTTCGAACCCGTTAATAAATATTAATTTTAATCTTCCGTCACTATCCGTAACGTTGCTAGGAAACTGGGTCGAAACAGGCTCAAGGAAACAATGAAGGAAACAACAAATTACCTGAAGGAAACAAAAAGAAGACTTAATTGATCTTTATTAATATATGGGACGTCATGGGACAAATATTAAGACTTTAGGTGGAACACGAAAACATCACGTGAGGGAAAGGTAACAAATGGCAGCAAAAATGTTTCGTTTTTTTGGCCTGTATATTGGCAGAGAACGTTTACCAAATTAAACTGAAAAATAATGAGACATGCCGTGGGAATCAAATCATCAGACGGTTAAAATTCAATCTGAACAGAACATTTCGACTTTTACGGTTTCTAGCTAAGAAGCAGAAACATGTTCCGTGTTTCTATCGAGTTTTACTAGTATTCTACTGGTATTCTAACCATGTGCTAATCCAAATGCTGCAATCTGATTGGCTGAGCTACTCATATACTCTTCTCAGCATTAGGTCGTCAGCGACTGAAATAGCGACGTTTTCTTGTTTTTGCGAAGTCACGGAAGACTATTTAGATACAAATAAATAAATAAATTCCTGAGAAGACTAAAAGAAGGAGAGGCACTGATAAGCGCGCGTACACAACAGGAAATTCCAAACGACAATTTAGTCCAGGCGAATTTTCTAAAGCACAAAGTTAAATACAATGCAAACTTTGAAACAATTGGAAATGGCTAGCTGAAGAAAACTGAAGTAAGAATTCTACTAAAACAATTAGATTATTCACTTTCGATTTCTTTGAAGTGATAGCTGATTCGGCCTTGATCAACTTTCACCTCTTAGAAATCTCGAGCTCATAATTTAATTGTTTTCAAAATAGAAACTCGAGTGGAAGTTTGGGAGAACGAGAAATACTGTGGGAACACGAGCTGAGGAGTCGGCTTTTTCGAGTTCTCTCAAACTTTCACGGGTGTTTCTTTAATAGTTATAGTGCACCACTAAATTTTCTCCCATTCTCATTAGTTTGAAATGATCACGTGACGCGATAGTGATCATCCGCGGAGAGACACTATCAGCCCATAGTGCCCGTCCGAGTAAAATACCCGGATGGATAGTACTCGTCCGTGAAAATATTTCTGTAAACAAGCGGGATTATAGAAAATAAAAAACAATTGAAATGTATTATTTGTTTTAAGAACATCAACGCGGGGCAACTATCAGCCGATAGTTCCCCGACAGAAACATTTTTAACCAATAAGCGTGCGTACTTTCTTTGGGCTGTTTTCTAAAAGAGAACAAAGCAGTGTTTCCCTTGACTACCCTGAGTGGGAGTTGAGGGACCGGAGGGGGCACTCTTCAGATTTTATGGCCGGGATCAGGATCAGGTGAAGTATATTCTGCATATGAGCCAAGAGGCCCATCAGGCCGGCACTTGTCTCCATTTTCAATAGCATGAAGCGACTAGGAGTATTTCTCCTCCCCCCTGGATGGGATGCTAGTCCATCGCAGGGTTACCCCCAGCATCACATTCGCCAGTACCTATTTATACACCTTGCTGGAGAGACTTGAGACTACGTCACAGAAAGAAGATTTTGCGACACGTGACTGCACCGATAGGCTGTGTATCCCGAATTCCTTGAATGTTAGCAGCCTCGCTTTTCAGTTGTCACATTTTTTGGAGCATTGTCGGGACTGAGTTGCGAGTCATTTTTGGCCATGAATATTACATTTAAATTGAAGGAAACCACAAAATAATACTTTGTTAAGTTAGAAAAACTCCAACGAGGAATAAATTGACCAAAAGGATGGAGGGATGGTAGATTACAAACGACAAACTTGAAAAACGCAAATTACAGTATTTAGAGAGGAAGCCACATCAGCCTTAGCTGGTTTTCATGCAGGTCCTCTATCTTGGTTGAATTGGAATTTGGAGGAAACCGGAGAACTCAGAGAAAAACCCTCGGAGCTAGGCAAGAACCAACGACAAACTCCACCCACATATGGCACCGGGCCGGAGTCGAACCCGGGTCACAGGGGGAGAGCGCTCTCACCGCTACACCAACCTTGCCCCTCCCCTATACTTTTCAAGATTCACCAACGGTGACCTAGCTCCTTTAATAACAGCAGACTACCTCGCGATAGTTTCACATGGCCAGTTTATTTTCTGAAATAGTTTTGGTCTACTTGATTTTGGGCTAATCATACCGCTCCCATTTGACCTTCTGCAAGTTTATGGACATGCTTTTCGACTTGCCCACGCAGGGCTGGTGAGAAATAGTTGAAAATCATCCAGAAAGAAAAAAAGAAGAAAAAACTATCGACGCTTTAATTTTTTTTATTTCTAACATCATTGAAAATTTCCGTCCGTGTTCTTAAATCAATCATACAAAGAAAAACCTCGTAACATTCGTTTCCCGGGCCATATATACTTTTCATCCGGAGACAGAGTACACATTGAAACAAAACAGGATAAAAATCATCAACTATCAGTGGGACAGTTTGCTATTTTAAAACAATTTCTCATACTGGAAAAAGAGTAAATTTATCGATTAAAGGAAAGCCGCAAATAGCATCAAAGATTTTCTAAGATATTGTTTAATTTGCACTAAACAATTGTTGTACCACAAAATAGTACAACAATACAAAATAGTACAACTTCAAATCTATTGAAGCGAACTATTTTAGCTATATGCTTATCAATGTGGTTTTATAACTGAAATTTCAAATGCATTTTGCTCCCACTAAGGGCCTGATTACATGGTTAATTTCAGCCCGGGCTTAAATTTCAGCCCGGCTTCTGAAACAAATTCTAATGAAATCAAATTGGTGATTACATGAAGAGGGATTCAGCCCGGGCAACGGACTGAAAAGTCTGAAAAAATCCCATGTAATCGAAACGGAATTTCAGCCCGGGCTGAAAAGCAGGAAATAAGATGGCTGCCGCTAAGAAGTAGAAGCGATCTCAATGGAATAA